GCTATTAGGCCCAATAAACAAAGCAGCGAGTCTTACCTAACAGGATTACAAGAATAGCTAGCATGTTGTATACAATTTTCTGCTGCTATTTTCTTTTTTTCTTTTGCGGAACTGGGGATTGAACTCAGACCCTTGTGCTTGCCAGAGAAGCACTTATTCCACTGAGCCATCTCCCCGGCCCCTATTTTCATTTTAAAAAGAGGAAATTATAAATTACACACATTTCCTTGCCTTTGTTCAGTACTATTGTCAGCAATGTTGACTAATCTCTGGGCCACCTCAAGTCAATTCATTAATGATTTTCTGGTCTCTGCCAACTGGCAAAAGTAATGAATATCCCAATCAAGCCTCCTCCAACTTGCAATAGCAGGCTACTTTACATGAGCATTTGTAGGTTTGCAAACAGAACAAAGTAAAAAAGTATATGTAATTCAAATGAAACCAAAATTATTCATCTCTAGGGTCTCTTCAAATTTCTGATCTGGATCATAATTATCTTTAGGATTGCTGAGCCTGCCATAGTGGTAAACACACCTTCAGACTTACTGCATCTACACATTCATTTAAGGTTTTTTCTTCCTGACAGGTAGAAGTAGGTTTTGCTTGTTTTGGTTTTTTTTGAAAAATAAATCCAAGCCTTCACAGTGAGTAATATCTTCAGTCCTTCTTGTTATTTTTTGGGACATGGTCTCACTAAAGTGTTCTGTCTGGTCTCAAACTCACCATCTATAGGCTTTAATGGGTGCAACTGTGCCCCCACACTACTAGGCAGTGAGGACAGCGTAGGAGCAAAGCAGTGCCAACGCCACTGCCTTTAAGAAACGCACATGCTGGCAGAAGAAACCATGGAACAAAACAACACATGGTATGTCAAATAGCTGCAAGACTACAAAGAAGGGCAGAAAGGAGGCATTCTAAACAGGGTGTCAGGGGCAGCTTCTCTAATCAGGTGTCCTCCAGATAGGAAGCATTCGGAAGGGCATCTAAAGGAGCATGGTGTGTGGATGCATGGCGGAAACACAGGGCAGCGCCCGAGATGTGCTCGGTGGTAGAGCACTTGCCTAGTATGCACTGAGGCCCTGGATGCCAGCCCTAGCACTAAAATAAAAACTAAGCAGGAGGAAGAAGACAAGCAGGGCACTGTGCAAGGAACACACCTGCCCGTGGGAGTGGCCCCAGAAACACAGGGTTGTGGGGGTCCTGGGGTTCAGTTAGAAGAACTTGGAGAAGCAGAGGGCATAAGCAGCAGCCATGATCTACGTGTATTCTGGAGCTCATAGTGACATATTCTGAGGAACTGGATGTGGAGAGCGTGAGAGAAGGACCCAGGATGACTCCTGCCTTTCTGCAAAGGCAACAGTTAAACAAGACCCCTATTAGAAAGTGAAGTGGCGGTGGAAATTTACTCACAACATAAACATCCTCTTCCAAATACCTGCGAGCAGAGCGAACCAAGGCCAGAAGTGAAACCTGCTCACAGCATGGCTGTAAAAACAACAGCTGTCACCATAAAACTGACAAAGGGCAGAAGACGAGGGAGTACCTGTAAATGCTACATGGCTTTCTACACAACACAGAACACGGAGAGAATGGAGCCCGAGTTCATGTATTGTTGTGAGGATTAAGTGGTACAAAACTCCTTTCTCTTTATATTCTATCAGGCGCTGTCCAAACGTCAATCAAGTGTATTAGAGAGACAAAAGAAAATGTCACGAGGATAAAGACAAACTAACCACCACACAGGGTCATCGACAGAGTTTGCGACCACTTTCTGACACTTAAATATAACTTGGGTTTACCATAGTCAATGCTGCTGATGTCATTTGGAGGTGCCCATCATGCCGGGACATTATAACGGACACCTTATATGCTTTCAAAAGAGAACCACACTTTGGTGAGCTAAGTCAAGATCCTAAATTGAAACAGAATTATTTTTAATAGAAGTCTATGTTCCAAATTGCAGTCAACTGAATTTTCTATTAAGCCTGTCAGTGAGAAAAACAAATAGCAAGGGATCTTAGAGAAAAATCAGAGATAATACATAAATGCTTTTCTCCTTCCATAGAGCTCCCTCCAAAAAAAAAATAAAGAGCCTATTAACAGAAGTAAATGAATGCTCCATTTCCAATGAAGCTGAACACTCTGGAGCCCTGGGCATTAAATAAGATCCACGCAGCTTTCATTTAAAGTAAAACAGTACCACAAAAGCTTACTAAATTTGATTCATTTCTTCCAGAAATCTTGACAGCCAATTAAGAGATCTATTCCTACTCATAATCTATCTCTCGGTAATGGCTACTGAAAATTACTGTCCCTACTGAAAAAGTACTTTGCATCTGCAGCCCACTTTCTGGGCCCCCTTCTGTTCCTCTTACACAGAAGCTTTCTTTCAATAAATTCTTCCTACTCTTTTTTTTTTTTTTTTTTTTGGTATTTTAGGGAAGGGTCTACAGGACTAGATCAGGTAGTGATCCACCTGTAGTGTCCCATGAGCTGGGATTACAGGTACCAGGGGATCAAACCTCTGGCCCCTATACCTGCTTGCAGGTGCTTTAATTCGCTGTGCTATTTGGTCGGCCCTTCTTTCTACTCTTAAAAAAAAAAATACTCTATATCAAAATGTTTACTACTATGAATCCATGTTTAGTCAAGCACTATATCAGACAGTCAAAATTTCATCCAGTTTCACATGAAGTTTTTTCTTTGTTATGAAACTTGTTCTATCTCTAACTAATCCCACATGGAAAGTTTCCAGAAATAAACACATTTTTTTAAATTAAAGGCTGTACTTTTTTATGGGGGTATTAATAGAAAAAAAATACCTCTTGTAAATGTGAATCTTTCTTTTTGGCTGATAGATTCAAATGTTTATCAATTAGGCTATAATTCTTCTCTGTCTCTTTGTCAAACTTCTTTTTTTCTTCCTATGAAACAAAAAAAGACAACTGTGATTAAATAGCAACAAAGAATTCATGCACAAAGTCAACCCACCGTGCAGCTCAAGCTATGAAAAACATTCACAAATAAAACCAAGTATCACTGACGGAGATGCCACTGTCTGAAAAGCATCTATAGACCCAGGTCACCGCTTCTGAGTCAAGTCAGCATAGGACTGTACACAGCTTGCTTGTTTTCCATCAGTGGGTTTTCTCCCAAGCCTGTTTTTCAAATCTTCATAATTACTATGTCACATACCAAAAAGAATACACAAGAACACATAATGAGAACATAAAGCTTATAAAAGCAATCTCAGTCCAGATTTTGGACTAAGATTTTTGGATTCATTTAGAAATAAACACCTTTTAAAATTCACCAAGTTGTGCTGTAAGATTTTTTATTTTAATCAAAATAATCACTTTTAGAAAATACATCTTGGGAGGCTGGAGAGATGGCTCAGTGGTCTAAAGCACCTACTTAGAACAAGCTTAGCAAAGCATCAGGGACCGCGGTTCGATCCCCCAGCACCACATGCCAGCCAGCCCCGCCCCCTGGTGGGCTGAGCTGGCCACACACACACACACACACCTCTCTCTCTCTCTCTCTCTCTCTCTCTCTCTCTCTCTCTCTCTCTCTCTCTCTCATAAATAAATAAAATTTAAAAAAAAAAAAAAAGAAAAGAAAATACATCTTGGGAAAGTTCTCCCCTTAATGGTCCAAGATGAACAAACAGCAAGAGCCTCTGACCAGAAATGTCAACGATCCTCGCAATCTTCACCAGTGAGTTCTGTAACTCTCCTTGGGATACGTATCAATAGTAAGAGTCTACAATAATACTGACATAGGAGTGCTAAGCTCCTCTGGCTAACCTTACAAGCTTTTCTCAGGGACTGCCGACAGCTAGCTGTAGCATTTGCTTTCCTTTCTCTACAGAAGCTTTTGGAGAAAACAACTGGCCAAATTATTCAATGCAGAGAAGGCGTTCTCTCCCCTCAAACTGTTGGCAACTTGGTAGGTTTTCAACAAACTTGTTGGAGCGTCAGTAGGAACACACTGTGTCAAAATGTTTCCATGAGCTTCAAACTCTCCACCTCCTGGACAGAACATTCCCTTCCCTGTTTTCCAAATTATATTTTGTAAAGCAAAGATAGTGAAGTATTCTTGCCTTTTCTGGTATGAGTTTTATAGGTTAGGCAGAGAATCAGCAAAGAATGTTGTAAATTCTTCTGCTTTCATTCGCGCGCACACACACACACACACACACACACACACACACTGAATTTATCTCCCTCGCTCTTGAGGTCACCTGGGGCTGCAGATTTGTGCTGGGAACCAAGGACAGGACATCCTCAGCCAGGTCATCCAAAGACTCTAAAGTCACCCCCAGATTGATGGAGAAGAGACTCAGGAATGCTCTGCTCTAAGTTTAGTTTTCAACTTGCACAACTTCAAAAGAAAAAAATCTCATGGCACAGAACATAAATTTTCTTATCAACACGATCAGGGATTGTTCTGTACTGACTCATTCTAGGTAATCCGATGGTTCATCTCAGAGGAAAAGAAGCCAAGGAAAAAGCCGTTTTATTTGAACTTCTTTTGCTGAAAGAGTCCTTTATTTTTTTTAAAAATGACCTAAGGGTTTTTTTAATTCACAGAATTTATTGAAGTCTAAGCTATTACTACTACATACTCTTTTTTGCTTTTTATTATGTTATTCACCACATCTTAAGAAAAGAAAATAAATTAAAACAAATAGAGGCTCATTATCTCGAAACCTCTGCTAGTTTAAAGATGTTGATAGTGTGGAGTACATTCTAACACTGAGGTTCCACTCCTAGCCACCTACGGGAGGTGGCCCTGCACAGTGGTCACAGTATTACTTGAGCTTCAGTCTCTCAGGTTCAAAAAAAAACCTTGGAGTGGAAGCCAAAATGCATCTGCACTGACAGGACAACTGCAAATCACAACCACCTGGTAAGAAACACTCACAGCCTTTACACATTAGGACTCACCAGGACCGGCCAACAGGTTTTTACTCCCTTATCTGATGCCACTGGAAGGACAGAAAGGGACAAAGGAGGAGCAAGCTCAAGCCAGCAGGCAAAACACCAGCTTGCTCAGCAACAGTGGGGGATGGAGGCTAACGTGGGTAAAGTCAGGAATGAAAGAACAGGGCCACACAAGGCTTCCTGAAGGAAGAATTCAGCCTGACAAACAACACACCACCCACCAATTAGGAGAGAAACGTATCTGTTCATACACGTTATGGAATTATACAAATGCTGCTGTGTTTTGTTTTGGAATCTCAAGACTCGAATAATGATTTCTTCATGCATTTGTTTTGAATGTGATTACATGATATTTTGTTTCTTTGTGCTCATATGATTTCTTGAGCTGAAGTAAGAATTTTAAGACTTGTCAGGCAGCATTAAAGAATGGGACATTTTTCTTTCCAACAGTGCATTATAATACAGAAAATGTAAATTGGCCAGCATAATCCAAGAAATTCCATGAAGGACCAAATTCGCTATAATGTGAAAATGTTTTTTTATAAAACAGGCATTTAGTACAATGAGTGAAGCTGAGCAGAAAAGAGATATATTAAGGAAAGGCGGGCAGTGAAAGGAGGACAGTCACATCCACTCTGGAGAGAAAAGTGACTTCCAGGGACTGCCCGTGAGATGACACAAGCCCACTGGCCAGACCACCTCTTCCAGGAATGCTGAAAACCTACCAATTTTTAAATGACAGCCAAAATATACATGAGAATAACTGAGTAAGCTAAATAAACAAACAAAATTTATGTGTATAGGTATAATTTAACAGTCAAAAAGTTAGCTTCTAAAGAGCTATAAAATGGTATGTGCAAAAACAAAAATCATAAAGAAAAGATACAACAATAAAATTGGTCAAATAAAGCCTATACTGTACGATCATCTGGCAAAGAATACTCATGAAAGAATGAACTGGAATAATCATATCTTTCAAATATCATAATATATACCTATTCCATCAGACATCATTGGGCTAAAAATTTATTCAAACAATACTGTTGGTTTAATTGCATAACTACTGGAGAACAGAAAGAGAACCCCACCTCGTATCAAAATTAATTCCAGATGAATTTAAAGAGTCACTAGTAAAAAATGAAGCTACAGTAGAGAATATTTGTTTCATCAGAACTTAAGCGTAAGAATCTTCTACTCTAAACAAGAAATGAAGTCTTAAGAACCTATAAAAATCAAAAAGCAACCAAAAATTAAGACAATTTGTACAGTGAGGGGACCTGCAACCAATATGTCAAAAAAGAAGAAAACATTGTTAAAATATAAAGTGTTGTTCATTAAGATTTTTTTTTCCTGCAAAAGCAAAGCTGGATGAAAATTTCATTAAGAATTTAAATTTAACTGGTCCATTTTTCTGCGGTAATAGATTTTTGGGGGGTTTCTTTGGGGGGTTTCTTTGGGGAGTAGGAGGAACTTTAAAGTTACCAGGTTACTTTTCAAGTTTTCTGCATTTTACAAATTTTTTAAGATGAGGAAGTAAAAGGGCTTATTTTTGAGCTAAAAACATTAAAGTATTTCATATTTGCCTAATCTGGACAAGAAAGCAAACTGTTCTTTGGGGGCTTTTTTACACAGCCCTAGGGATTGAGCCAAGAGGCCTTTGTGTCACTTAATCCCCCAAGCTGGGCTCAGGCTTGAGTTTTTCCTGCTTCAGCCTCCCAGAGTACTAGCACTCCAGGACAGCAGGCCCAGACCCCTTAATTCTTAAGAGACAACTCCTCCTTTTTTATTTAAATTAAGAGGTAGGATAATACTTGTGCATGAAAACAAAATGCACATGGCAAGCAATCCCCAGCAAGAACATTCTTCAAGGCACAATTCTATAGCCCTCTCTTCCCATTCTTCTAAGCCCCCTCAGCCTCTTTTTTTTTTTTTTTAAGGGGATTGAACTCAGGACCTTAGGCTTGCCAGGCAAGCACTTATGCATTCTACTGAGATATCGCCCCAGCTCGGCCTGTTAAGAGATGAAAATTCAGCTTCTCTTGGTCACAATGAAGCCCTGGACCCCACACCCAGGACCTGCCTGGGAGGAGTCTGTCCAGCCCGGGGCTGGAGCAGTGCTCTGCCACTTCCAGGCTCTTCCTGCCCCTGAATCCTGTCCACTGGGCCCTTCCATGCAACTTGGCAAGGATCCTAACCAGCAGCCTCTGTCCAGCAAGTCACCCTAAAGCCTGGAGCACAGAATGGACAAAAACCTGAGCCATTCTGTGGCAAGCTGACAGAATGCACACCGTACATGAGGGAATAAAAGTAATTGCAGCGCTGTACAGCAGGCCCTGTACCAGACACCCCAAGCATGCTGTCAGGTTCATTCCATGGCCACAGCAGCCCCCCAAGCAGCTGCAGCAGGCCTCATCTCACAGAGAAGAAAGCAGTAGTCAGAGGTCTTCAGTAACTTGTCCCAAATCACACAGGTCATACAGGCACTGGGGAAAGTTTCAAACCAGCCTTCCTCAGAGCCTGTGGGGTACTCCATAGCTGAGATGGCAGAAAGCATCACGGGGCCCCAAAGCATTCGCACGGCACACTTTTACTGCTTTTTCAAAAAGGTCACAGCCTCCCACGGAGCTCCTATCTTCCTAAAGGGCAGCCAGTGCTGTAACTCACTCATATAGCCCAGGGCCTCTCGCAGCGTGCCACAGGACAGGTGATAATGTCTCTTATTACTAAAATACACAGAAGGAAGTCACAGCAATGTGTCTGCTTACCACACATAACTGGAGAAAGCTATTCAGGCTTGTTTGTTTCTTACTCACAGTTTATAGTCCTTTACAGAATCTTGGCAAGCCAGGTTTGATCAGAAATGTATTCACTGGACAAAGACTTGGAGAGAACAATAAGGACAGTCAGAGGTGAGAAGCAGGTGAAAGGCTCCATGAGGCAAAATGATAATTCAGATAGATACAGCGAGCGAGCGAGCAAGAGAGAGATACGCAGTCAGCGTAGAAGGAAGAGAGGCTTGATGGACGCTGCTGAGGCTGCGGCTCCTCCTCTGCTCTTCATTGTTTTCTGCTGCATGAACTGCTGTCATCTGCCTTGGAGCCAGCAGAATATGGACTGAACCCTCCAGTAACTGTGAGCTAAATAAACCTTTCTTTCCTTTATTCCAGTGTCAGGTATTTCTCCCAGCAACGAGTAAACAGTAACTAAGACAGATGGACAGGTGAAGGGCAAGGCGCTGGCGGAAGGTGAAAAGGAACGGAGAAGATAAAAATGTTGACACACACCCGAAAATTCTGACTGGTAAACTTCTTAAAATACTGAGGTTTTTTTTGCCCTGCACGAAACTTGTTGTGTTTTAAGCTCTTTAACTCAAGAGAACAAAGTGTAATGGTGTTTTTGTTTGTATTTATATTGCTGGAGTTTGAACACATGCTAAGCCATGAACTACCTCCCCAGGGCTTTTTCTTTTTTTTCTTTTCTTTTTTTTTTTTGCGGAACCGGGGATTTAACTGAGGCCCTTGCGCTTGCCAGGGAAGCACTTATTCCACTGAGCCATCTCCCCGGCCTCCTGCCTTTTTCATTTTTATTTTCAAATAAGATCCTGCTTAAGTTGCCCAGGCTGGCCTTGAATTTGCAGTCCTCCTGCCTCAGCTTCCTTAAAAGCTAAGATTCCAGGTATGCACCACCATGCCCAGCTGAGAAAAAGTGTTTGTAAGCATCTCACACAAACAGATTGACTAGAGGAACAAAAGTATGCACTTGTCAAAACAGGGTTGAAGCTTTACTAAGCAGAGACATACAAGTGTCAAATATCCAAACTACACACCTTATCCTGTTTCTTACACAATTATGAGTTGACTCATTTATTAGCTTATCTTCTGTAGTAGAGCAGACTAGAGGTGACAGAAATAAAAAAATAAAGCACAATCTTTTAAAGATTTAACAATGTAAAAGACAAGTGACTACTGCCATACACAGACAACCACATTTCTCTGTTTATTATGATATATAACAAACTGTCAGCTAAAAACAAGTTTATTGACCATTTTTGACTTGGCCTACATAGAAGACACTAACATGAGCCTTAGGTAGGTAGTGTCTGTTTGTTCACTTGTTTGTATGTTTGTTTGCTGGTAGCGAGAACTGAACTTAGGACCTTGCGCATACCAGGCAGGCACTTGCCAGACAGGCATTGTGCCACTGTGCTATATCCCTGGCCCAGTAGTGTTTATTATATTTGTAAAGGGACCCATAAGAACTGGCTCTTAGCAGGTAATGTTGACAGGCATGAGCTACCGGTATCGTACCTGGCCAAAACACACTCCACTGAACAAGGATGCAGGAAAAACCCTTCATCAACTTGAAGCACAAAGAAGGGGAAATACACAAGACCAGGATAGGACGTGGCCACTGAAATGTCCAAGGCACAGAATGAACAGAAACTGCAACCTTTTCAAAGGCCAACTTATTTTATAAGCTGCTCTGCAGGACCAGCATGTCACAACCTGGAAAGCCTGTGCTAGCAGAGGAGTGAATGGAAAAGTCCACTGACAGTCAGAAATCGATCAAACCCACAAGGGCACACGGCATACTAAAATAAATTTAAATATACATAGCATACACACACACGCGCACACACACACACACACAGTCTGTTTTTCATCTTCATCTTTGCCCTCTCTCATTATCCAATTGAATAAGCAAAGCTCCTTGTGTCCATCTAGTAGCTGCCAACAAAAAGGCAAAAGAGCCAAGTGCTCATAACAGCATAAAGAGTCACAATTAGAGAAAACAGAACCATTGAATTGCCAGATCTCTAAATCCTTCATCTGACAGGGTCACCTCTTGGCGTAAGGGCGCAGAGTGGAAATGCAGCCTCCAAGCTCCTGCTGCACAGCTGAGGAGCCAAATCTAGGTGAACATCTGGCGTAGGGGGTGCTGACCACCCTTGGCCTTCCTGTCCTGAACCTCAAGTCACAGTTCTTCATGAAAAACTGTAAAACTTTGGGACAAACAGCATTGTCAAACAAACAGTTTAACAAATCACTTAAAGGACAATGGATTCTGTAAACAGCAACTGAAAAGTTGGGCTGTTCTGGGTTCATGTATAGTTCTGGTTACTAAGGCAACTGTGATTACTTAAACCAAGAGGTTTTTTTTTTTTTTGTTTTGTTTTGTTTTGTTTTTTTGGGTAATGTGTTTTAGTACAGGGTTCAGTACACAGACTGGACTCATAGTGAGCCTCCTGTTTTTAGCCTCCCAAACAGTGGGATTACAGGTGTGCACCACCACACCCAGTCTCATTCACCTTCTCCCCGCACCCTGGGGGTGGGGCTGGCAAGGCACGCAGGGAATCTAACCTGGTCCCTGTGCGGGTCTAAGTAGATGCTTCAGTCCACTGAGCTATCTGGCCTGCCCCTACCAAGGGATTTTAACAGGTTTTTTTATTGTTATTATTCAGGGAAATGTTTAAAAAGTCCTTACATCGGGGCCAGGGAGATAGCTCAGTAGAATAAGCGCTTGTCTGGCAAGCACAAGGGCCTGAGTTCAATCCCTGGTTCCGCCAAAAAAAAAAAAAAAAAAAGTCCTTACATCCCCAACCATGTGGGAGAAAAATGAAAAATATAAAAACTCTTTTACCTACCTAAGACTGATGTTAGTGTCTTCTCCATGGCCCAAGTCAAACAGGATCAACAACACAGAAATGCTACTTCCCCCCTCGTGTACATACAGAAAATTCAGAAGCAAACAGTGGAAATTATTTCTCTGGAATGGCTAACTGCAAAGCTCAGATCACAAACCACAGAAGTTGCTGATTATGCCCCAGGCCCCCTGTGGCCAAGTCAGTGTGCTACGCTGGGAAATCCTGCCTATCCAAGACCACTGGGAGGACAGTCTCTGCTTTTCTCACGTAGGAATCGCAGCACAAACACAATACACAACACCCCAGGAACACTGGCACATACTAGAAGCTCACTGCATTTTTGGTAAATGGAAGGAAATCACATCCCACTAACTTAATGTTCTCTTTCTTGGTTTAATGACATCATGCTGGTGCAATGTCTCATCTTCCAACCCTATTTTACTGCTACATTCCTCCATAAAGCAGAGGTAAACAGAGAAGTAACTCCGCTCCCCATTGTGCTAAGAGCCTGCTATGCAGAGTGGATATGCTGTTTGGTCAGACATTCCCTGAACTTCGAATGGAAAAGTGCAGCCAAACAAGATTATCAGAGGCTTTACCACTCTGTCCAGGTGTTTCTGTTTTGTTTTCAATTTCATCTCCCCAGAGGGGATAAAAGCACACTTACAACATAAAACAACAGATGGTTTACCCCAGCGCTTCTCTTGAAGCTGCCAAGTGTGAATAAAGCAGACAATGAATTAGCGGTGGCCTCGACATTCTCTGCTCACGAGTGCACTCCAATGAGACACAAACCTTTACTGCTCCAAGTTGCTCTTTTCTGAATTTTTCCAACGGTTTAATCAGGGTTTCAGTTACACTTAATGCCTAGAGAACAAAATAATAACAAAAGAACAGAGTTAGGTTTCCAAAAAAAAAAGGAAAAATTTGTATTGCATTTTCCTCTTGCACCCCACCCAGAAATAAAATGAACAACACATTGACTACTTTACCTCACCATGCCCATGCGGCAGTTAAGTCACCTCCCAACTTATTAAAGCACTAGAACCTCATAAATATTTTCAGGGACCAGGACCTGGGACAACTGGCCATAGATATGCAACCCCAGCCTCTTCAGTGAAACAGCAAGAGGGCCTTGAACAATGCGGGGTCTATCACATTCATTAACAGAACATTTCTGTGCAGATTTTTTTTTTAATCCTACTCAAAAATTTCAAATTCAAATAAATTCCTTTATTGGTAATCAGACTACATTAAGGAAAGACTAGGATCGTGGTAACGCTTTAAATGCAACCAGTTCGCCCTTCATTGCTGAGAATGCATTGTAAGGATTTAAGGAACAGATGCAGGAGGCAGCCCCAGGGGCTGGGGCAGGGTGTGCTGGCAAATATCACAACAGGGAGGCGGACAAGACAGGAGCCACATGGGAACTCCAACCACAGCCACAATCGTGTCTTAAGTTGGCTGACTTGGGGCTTCTTCTAAACCATAAGATGCTGAAAAATAAGTTGGCTGACTTGAAGCTTTTCCTTCTAAACCATAAGATGCTGAAAAACGCCAAGATGGGCACATTTACCCAAGGAGAACATGCATAAGAACAGCATGCTGCCACATGGGGGCTTTTGCAGTCTCCATGTGCAAGAGATGGAAAATATCTCATGGGAATGGGGGTGCACCTCAAGACACTACACAAAACCATGCAATACACGTTTTCATAAGCCCCTCCCCCGTGTGTGTGTGCGCACAAAAAAAAAAAAATCCAAGCTTAAAAGTACAGAAAAAAAAAAAAATAGAGACTCACAAAGGACTGCAATGGGAACTGGATCCAGGGCCCTCCACAAGCTGTACAACCACTTTACCACCGAACTACATCCCCAGCCCATGGCAAAGGATTCTGAGTTAGACCCACACCTCCTCTGCTCTGTTTCACTACGTAAGGACTTCTTCCAGAGCTTGCTCACACTGTATTCTGCATGACTATGCCCCCATGGTCAAGACACCCAGAGTTTGACCTTTCCATCTCAGACCAGCTCCTTTCTGGGTTCCTCTGTCACGCAGACAATTTGTTAATTAGGTACAACAGACCTGGGTCACCAGAGACCTAAAGGAAATAATAAGACCAACAGGCAATCAAGGTCAAAAGATCCTCTTCAAAATGCATCCAGTTTATTCTCTCTCCATTCTAGACCATGTGACTTACAAAATAGCAAACCAATCCTGCTGTATTACTGAAGAACAGAGCAGAATCCAGGCCTGGTAGTGCAGCCATGTGATCCCAGCACTCTAGGAGGCTAAGGGAGGAAGATCACAAGTCTGAGTCCAGCCCAGGCACTTAGAAAGACTGTCTTAAAAATAATTAAAAGGAGCCAAGGATGTAGCTCAGTGTGAATACCCTGTGGTCAAACCCCAGTCAAAGGGTAGGAGTCAAAGAGCAGGGATGGAGCGGCGCAGACCAGGAATCCTGACCACCTAATAACACAGAGTTCTCAGGGTCTACTTGAAAAAGGAGATCTGAGACACTCCAATATATTTTCAAGGTGTTACAATTTACACACCGTGTCATGTATTAAGGCACAATTGCGTAAGTACTATATGCCTGAAGCTTCTCCATCTGAAGCTTGCAGTTATGGTTTGTGTCTAGTTGTTCCCCCAAAACTCATGCAGTCATTGGGCCAGTCTTCTAAAGTTTGTGACTAATTCATGATCCAATGCTGGGATTATAGGTGAGAGTGCTATACCCACCCTGGGGTGGATCGTCCGCATATAATGTAAGGAGGGAGAGAGCCTGGCTAGCTGCTGCAGCCTTTGCTCCTCCCTTTGCTCTTTGCTGATTTCTGCCACTATGAATCTGCTGGCACTCTGCCATGCACCACTTGTTCTGCCTTGGAGCCAGCCAAGTATGGACTGAAACCTCAACTAACTATGAATTAAATAAACTTTTCCTTCCTTAATTTTGTGTGTCAGGTATTTTGTTCCAGCAATGAGAGAAAAGTAACTGAGACACTAGCCTGCTATTCTTACTGAATAAACCTCCTGATCACACATGCAGGGATAACTGCTCAAGGCAACAGAAGACAGGAATAAAAATTCAAAGTCATATAAATCTGAACCCAAGCTCAAATACCATATGGCACTGCAGCAGAAGTACCAAATGGGTCCTTTCCACTCACGCTAGCCCACCTAATGGCAATCTTAGGAAACAAGTATCTGCTGAGCATCCCATGCCAAGGGGGGCAGGAAACAAGGATTAAGAAAACAAGCAAGAAGAAGAAAGAAGAAAGAAGAAAGAAGAAAGAAGAAAGAAGAAAGAAGAAGAAAGAAGAAAGAAGAAGAAGAAGAAGACGACCAGCATAATGTCTGCCCTCACTACCTTGTATCAGAGACATGTAACGGGCACGTGAAAACATAAGCCATGTCGCTGTGAATTTCAGCACTGCTCTCCAATGAGTAAAAGACAAAGATAAAAGGCCAAGGATGTAGCTCAGTGGCATAAGCCCCTGCCTGACAAGCACAAGGTCCTGAGTTTGAGCCCCAGTTCCACCAAAAAATAGGTACAGCACTGACTGCATCAGAGGAGGTATGAAGAGAAATGGACTCAGTCTGAGCCTCATCAAATGTGCAAAGCTAAGGGCTGAAAGATGAAAAGAAATTTCAGATGGTGAAACACAAGGGAAACTGTTTCCAACCTAAAACCAGCAAGGCAGAGGATTATGGGGAGGCATTTGTGTGTTTTTGAAAAGGTCAAATGACAATATGGCTGGGGCAGAAGGAACAATGACATTAACTGAAAGGGATGCCTTGTAGAGGAGGCCCAGCACACCTTGAGCTCTGCGGGCATGGAGAAAGGGCTCATGTTTTATTTTGGGCTCAACGGAAAGTCACCAAAGGTTCTACACAGGAAACTGACACAATGGTAGTTAGATCTGTTATCAATTACTCTTGTCTGCTCTGAAGAAGAGAGATTTTTAAGGTGCACAAAACAAGAAGAAGTTTTTTCATCAAGAGACTTCCACAGTAGTAAAGGTAGGAGATGATGGTGGATGGGATGAAATACTGAGAGACTTGGGACAATACCTTCTTACAGATGGAGCCCAAGCAATGGGTAATGGCAATGGAAACAGTAGAGAGATGTCTGGACTTGCTCCCAGGTTGCTGGATGAGCAGCTGACCACGTGAGAAGACTGCTACGGCTCGGCTCTTCCGGCCCATCCCACCACCTCCACCACCATGCCCATTTGCACAAGGTTTGGTCAGTCACTTACTGAGATATGCTGGAACCTTTAGGAGGGACAGTAAAAAGCTCAAACCACATGGTAGTTTTTCTTCTTTAGGAAAGACTGATTTTGTAAATTTGGAACAGAACCTAATGTCTGAGAAGAAAATAATGAAGCAGCCATTAAATGCTTTGGTACAGCAACCAATGCCACAAAGGTTGCTTGCTTCCTTTTCTCAAAATAGATTAAATACGCCAAGGAATCTTTCAGTTCTTTTTATAAATTCACAGAAATATTACATAATGTTTGTCAGTATTCTTACTGATGTTTTCTAATGCCAAAACACAATTCTTCCCTGGAGATGAGTGGCTACCAAATTCAGAACTGTCCCTAAGAATCTAGAGTCAATTTAGGGTGATTACAGCTTCTCAGTTTCAAAGAGACTAATGCAATAATAAGACAGTTTTCAAATAGCAATTAGAGATGAGATAAAAGACAGCAAAGATAGCATGGGAGCCTACAACCATGTACGTAAGATTATATAGTCAGATTCCTCCCATAAAGTACTTGCCAAAACCCCACAGAACTGTCTGCTAATAAGCCTTGGAAAGAGTTTTGGACAGTCTCACTCAGACAGACCCTGAAGGCAGCTACACGAACATAAACCATGTTAATGAGTCAGGTGCTCTCTTTGCCAGAGAAGACATCAAGGTTTTCAATAAAAGACCAGGCAATAAATAAGGTGCGACTACAGCTACAAGTCCTCAGTTCTGCCACTGTAGTGGCAAGGCTGCCACAGAGGGCATAGGAAGGCATGATGGTTGCTGTGTCCCAACAAAACCATGCACAAAACAGGAAGCGAGGAGCGTTTTGTCTGTGGACCCTGGTTTGCCAGACCCTGCCCGACAGAATCACCTCATCATGGTATAAAACACACTTGACTTGTTCTCCAGGACTGCGTGATGAACACTAAGCTACATCCCTGGCCCTTTTTTATTTTCAGCCATACTAAGTTAAGCGGACAGAGCTCCAACTTGCAACTCTCCTGCATCATCCTTGGAGAGTGTTGGAATCACAAACGTGTGCCACCCAGCCTGGCATAGCTTGTCCTTTTTAAATACACATTTGCCATATTTGCACCTGATCTGAGGCTGGCCGCAAGGTGGAATTCTGGATGAGAGAAGCGCGATTCAAGCAGCTCTCATATACTCAGAAGCAGAGGCTCGGATTCACCGCAAGAAGCCAACTGCTGGATGTCGGCACTGCTTCACAGCAGCTGATGTGAACCTAATAATGGGCTTCAAGCCTCTAAAATCTGTCACTAACTGAACATCCAGCATGAACCCAAAGAACCACCAACAGCACCAGAGGATAATAAGCACAGCACTAATCAGCTGTCCCACGGCTTGGGGTGGCACAAAGGGCCTGGTGGAAGAGCCAGGTGGAGGAAAGGTACTCCCCTCGGCAACAGCAGGAAGCAGAGAGAAAAAGGGAGAAGCCAGCGACAGAACACACCTCTCCACCCCAGGTCCGCAGTGACCAGCCTCTCCTGGCCTACCCAAGTTCTCACAGCACATTCAGCTCTGCAGGCCACAATGCACTGAGCAGTCCGGTGGCCTCCGACCCAACCACCCTCCAAATGCCCCAGCACTT